CTTCACTGTACGTCGGGGATCTCCATCCGGACGTCACCGAGGCAATGCTTTTTGAGAAGTTCAGCACCGCCGGACCGGTACTTTCCATCCGTGTTTGCCGTGATGCAATCACCAGACGCTCGCTCGGCTACGCATACGTCAACTTCCAGCAACCAGCTGATGGTTCGTTTCTCTGTTACTGACGAATTTCCTCAGCTTTTTCCCGGATTTTTCGGGATTTACACGCCATAAGATTAGTTTTTTTGGGAAGGGGAAAGGGGGAGGGAGCAGAGCATGGGGGTTCTAAAGATCGTAGGCTGCCGCGTGCAGACGTGAAGTGATGCCGAAATTTTTCAAAATCTCTGGCTGTATATGTTTGAATTTTGAGAATAATAAACTGCAGCTGTTAGAAGACCAAATCTTCAGAAGATCGAATCTTCCCTTCTTTTTCGACATTTTTCTAAATTTACCGTAGGAGCAAATATACAAAACATAGAGGGAGTGGTTAGCGCAGTCGAAACTCCAATCTTTCGCTTACGAGCAGCGTTGCTTGCTGCTACCCCATGCGAGCGCAAGGGCCCGGGGTCTTCAGGGACGGTGGCCAAGAACCCCTTTTAAGCACAAGAATAAATGTTCCTGGAAATAAAGCTGAGGACCATGGCGGTATTCTCGAGGTTAATTTTGATTACTTTTTAGCCGAGCGAGCTCTGGACACGATGAATTTCGACATGATGTATGGGAAGCCGATCCGTATAATGTGGTCGCAGCGTGACCCATCGATGCGTCGTTCCGGTGCTGGCAACATTTTTATCAAAAATTTGGACAAAAGCATCGATAACAAAGCTATCTACGACACGTTCTCGATGTTTGGCAACATTCTTAGCTGCAAAGTTAGTGTCTTCTTTTTTTTCGAAGGGAGATAGATGATGGTATATTGTGAGTTATTGACAATAATATGGTTGCTGCAACCTGCTTATCAAAAAGGGTGTTGTTAAGGTTGCGAATGATGAGGAATTGAATAGCAAGGGCTATGGTTTCGTTCATTTCGAAACCGAGGAAAGCGCACAGAAGGCAATTGAGAAAGTGAATGGTATGCTACTGGAAGGCAAAAAAGTGTAAGTTTCTGGAAATTTGGCTTTTTTCTATTCTTTGGTATCTGTTGGGCAACATTCTGCGATTGGTAGGATTTGGCAAAATAAAAGCACACGGGCCCCTGATGGGGGCCTGGGAGGGGGGTGGGGAGGAGGAAGGAAGGGGAGGGCTGTAGTGAATGATATGTCTCGTTCGACTGTGAAGACGAGTGGTTCGATTTCCCTTTAATTCATACTCATACGCAAAAATAGGGGTTCGTCTGCTGAAAAACGTGATGGAATAAATGACAGGTATGTTTTTTAATAGCACGGAATGAGCTAATTTTCGTTTTTCTCTTTTTAAGGTATGTTGGCAAGTTCCAGCCGCGCGCAGCGCGTATGCGTGAAATGGGTGAAACGACTCGTCGTTTCACGAATGTTTATATCAAAAATTTTGCTGATGAGTTGGATAAGGAGGGGCTGGAGAAGCTGTTCTCTAAATTTGGTAAGATAACAAGTGCGGCGGTTATGACGGATGCAGAGGGTAAATCGAAGGGTTTCGGTTTTGTGGCATTCGAAAATCCGGAAGATGCCGAAAAAGTGAGATATTTTTTCGCCACTCAACACTGCTCCCCTCTTTTCTGCTTTAGCGCATCTTTGCGTGCAAATTATACGGAACTACGACGGGATTTTATCTTATATATAAGCCTCTCGTGGTGAATCAAGCTGAAGAACTAATGCAGTGACCCTGAGGACTTGGTTTCTGATTGAGAACCAAGCGTGACCCTGAAAAATTTTGTTCCCGACTGTATCTGGTCCAAAAAGCGTAAAATCAGCTTTCATGCCCTGCGCATGTTCCTTTTTGATTATATCAGCATTAAGCAACAGCCAGCGGATCTACGCCACGTATTCAGTTCAATCCACCCAACTATTCTACAGGAGCAGATGAACCAAGTCGGGAGGGGGGGGGGGGGGGGGGGGGGGAA